ACACTCGTGTGCTGTTACAGTGAATGTTTGAATTTGAGGATTTGGAGAATTCTAAAAACTTGCTGCATGTTTTACAAAATGTTTCTGATGTTATGATCTCAGGACTGCTTTTGAATCTGGAATTGCTGCAGAACAAAAGACAATAAAATATGAAATGTAAAGTTTGGGGTGCTGTGTCTTTAAGAGGACAATTAAAGTAAATTAAATAAATAATGGTCATGTAACAGTCTTACAAAATACCCTTTTTGCAGTGACGGATTCAAGACTATAAAAATGTTATGTTTATTGTTGATTTACAGTTTTTTATTTCACCCATTTGATTGACTTTATGTGACTATATTTTGGGGAAACCCCATGAGCAGCATTTTGTGGCATCTCTCTTCGAGGCTTTTACTGATGAATGGAGGGAAGCAGCATTTACATGTGAACTGAATCACGTTTTGTGCTTCATTTGAAGGTCACTTTTGTTAATTCTGTAAAAGAAAGTCCACAATTTGGTTCGTACATTTCATTCCGTCTTAAACGAGTCTCTTGTGACTTTTGGTGGTGGAGTCATGGGACAAATGTTTGATCTGCTTTTAGAGATTTTAGAAGTAATTTTTCCCCGAATAAGAAACTTTGATCTTTACAAGATTTCATACATAATTGTGGAGCATTTGTGCTACTATGTAAATGCCGTTTTTCTACAAATGCATTAAAATTCTTTTTGACTTTTCTAACAGGATGACCAAACCCACTTCCTCTTTTTAAAAACGTACCGCTTGGCACAATAGGACCAAAGAAATGACCAGTTACGTATGTTTTAAGCAAAACATGCATCGCAGGAACCTTTAATTGTACCAACTAATTTCTGGTGTGTTTCTTTTGTATGTAATTAAAAAGTTTCTTTTTTATTGACTTGTTTGAGATGCACATTATGTTAAAGTAAAAACACGGGGACAGTGACTCACTAGCACTGATTGTTATGGTTGTGAGTGGATCCACTCTTCTTTACAATTTTGCAGAGAGGCTGTGACTCATAGTCATGTCCCCAAAACCAAAGTCACAGAGTCCAAAAAAAAAAAGAAAAGAAAGGAAGGAAGAAAAGAAAAAAAGCTGCACTGTGGCAACTCTGTTTGCATGTTTGTTTCTCCCTGTCCGTGTGGCCTGTTGCATAACTTGAATTAGATATTTCTGGCATTGGTCTGGGCATTGTTTAGTCCTGTAATTAACAACTTCAAAGCGCAGCTGAAAGCAGATGATAGGTTAGAATTCACTGTCACCATCATTCACAGCATTTTTAAACATTGTGCCATCCTTCTTCACTATGTGGAAATCGTGAGTCACACATCTTCCTGTCGCCTTTTTCTCGATCTTATTCACTCACTCACATTTACCAAATAATGGAGGGAGTATCCATGGTCACCACATCCTGTGTCATATCCAGCTGTGATACACAAAACTGTTTGTTCAGTACAACTGGAGTGGATTTAATCACACTCACTCAGACCAATTTTTAACACTATAATTACAGATATGTGCCATCTAGTGGTTACAAACAGACATTTTTAGTGTCCAGCTCCAGCCATGTGTGCTCTAATGTAAGTTGTTTCTTCAGAAAGACATACGTCATGCAAATGCTGCATAGTGAATGTCACCCTAGAACCTTGTAGCTAGGATTATAGAAATAATGAAGTCATGCATCTACAAGTACCCATGGAGGGAAACTATTTGAAGGTATGCAGCAGAGACAGTTTAAGATACAAATCACAGGAAATGACTGGAGGAAGTATTCAAGAGTTTTATTAAGGTAACACTAATAATAGAAAAAAAAGACCTCAACAGAACTGCACTAAAAGATGCTCTAAAATTATGTACGCATATGTGCATCTATCATCTTCATTGTATCAGCTGAAGTATCAAAAGTAAAAACTGAAGTGAAAGGCTACAAGACATGCATAATATTATCATTCATATGTCATGACTTTAGCTGGAGGGAGTAAATTAATGTTTCCATGTATTGATGTTCAAGGCCTTTACAGCCAGTCTGGTTGTTGTTTATTCAATTAATAAGTTTAGTGCCTCATTTGTAAAACACTCATCTTCATGCACTAAATTTATTATAACATAAAAAAACTGCATACAACACTGCACTAGAAAACCTTGCCTTGTAAACAAGGTTTTTTTTAAGGTGGGTGAAAACTTGCAAATTCTTCAAAACATACTTAACTAGAAGTACATGGTTAGATTTAACCACTGTCTCATGTTTGCATGTATGCACCTAAACCTTTAGGTCATAGGCTCTTTATGTCACGGTCTGGCTGGCAGACCATGGGGATATGGGGGAATGAGGACCCAAAACACATGGTTCTGCAATGCAAACAGTGCACTTTATTTACAGTGAAGGCTGTAAACACAATAACTCCCCGTTGCTCCCTTGAATCCCGTGTGCTCATGCTCCCTGCTGTTGTGTTCTCGCACACCCTGTGTGTGCTGCCGTTCTGGTCCACTCTTCCACCTGGGGGGAAAACCACAAAAACAGCCATCAACACCAACCCCGGCAGGCATACACGAACAGCACCGTTGTACGCTGACAGAGACACACTAACTTGGGTAGACAACTCAATGATCCCACACCAGTGGGAGCTCCAACACTCTCCTAAGTAGCTCCCCCAACGAGCCCTGATCACCAACAGGTGTGTGGCAGGAACTTCAGGTGTGGCCAGTCCTCCTGCAGGGCCACACCCATCAGGCCTGCATGTGGCTGTTCTCCATCCTCCAGCCACACATGTACACACCCACACCCACACCCTGCCTATACATATAATGAGTGGAACACAGACTAACACAGCATTGTGCAGAAAGACACACACATCACCAAATAATAATAATAATAATCATAATAATAATAACAACAACAGTCCAAACTGCTCACGGACCCCCGAGTCCTCCAGAGCCGGGTCCGTGACACTTTATTTTGGTAACCTGTTTTGGTGTCAACTTCTGTCAGTTCAACTGGTTCAAAGCTCCCTCTCTGTGTGTCTATCAATAAAAGAACAGAAGAGAAGTGAAACAGCAGAATCAGGTTATAAAATACACATTTTGGGGCGATCGTGGTTCAAGAGTTGGGAGTTCGCCTTGTAATTGGAAGGTTGCCGGTTCGAGCCCCGACTTGGACAGTTTTGGTCGTTGTGTCCTTGGGCAAGACACTTCACCCGTTGCCTACTGGTGGTGGTCAGAGGGCCAGTGTCTGGCATCCTCGCCTCTGTCAGTGCGCCCCAGGGTGGCTGTGGCTACAATGTAGCTTGCCATCACCAGTGTGTGAATGTGTGCATGAATGGGTGGATGACTGGATGTGTAAAGCACTTTGGGGTCCTTAGGGACTAGTAAAGCGCTATACAAATACAGGCCATTTATGATTTTTACATAGCAGCAGCAGCAACAACATTAAAACCACTGACAGGTGAAATGTATTGACCCTGCCTTTTTCAATATAACGTTCTACCCCCCTCTTCTGCCTTCAGGGTAGAACTCCAAAACCCAGATTGCAATTTGAACAAGCTTGATTCATCGAAGCCCAGCCCTGCTGTGGATACTTTGTGTCCTGTGGGCTGCAGGGATGGGCTTCGATGAATCAAGCAGGACACAAAGTTTCCTCTCCCAAACACGCAGGTCCAATGGGACAGAGCTGTGTTGGCAG